GTGTGGCTGCTGAGAAGAGGCATAGGAAGTGGTGCGCTCTGTCGTATGTTCAGCCCCTAGTGGGAACTATTTTTTTGCTGGTATGGCTGCTGAGTAGAGTCGCAAATAACGCGGTCAGTTGCGAGTTCGAACCCCGCCAAGGGAACTTTTTTTTTATTTATCTTTATTACCTCAAACGAGCGCGTTGGGCGGACTGCATTTGGAATGAGAGGGTTCAGGGTGTACCCTAGTCGGGAGTTCCCAACTATAACTTCTTGTTTTATTCATAATTATTCAATTTATGCTGTGAATAATGATAAATTAAATACAAGTATAATTATATTAATAATTGCTGCTAGTTTTGATCCAGCGACCTGCCACTTTTTATTCCAATGAATAAATGAATATCATTTGGCAGTATATTTTGTTTCTCTTTATAAATATTGCTGCTTAAAATTAGCAATTACTTCCGCATAGCAAGCAGAATTTTAATAACGCATATGAAATTGTTGAATTATAGAAAAATTTAAGTTATTTAAATGAATTTAATATAGCTTTAATAAAATTGCTAGTAAGCTTCCATATTTATTTAGTTTCTCTGGCCTTCTTGCTGCTGCATTAAATTGTTGAGCTCTGCAGTATTCGTGCTATTAGTAAAAATGAGTGGCTTTAAGTTATTTGCACAGCAAATGCTTCACTTTGGCAGCTTTGTTAAGCCATTTTCTTGACTCTCGACTCAAAATTTGTTTGCCAGTTTCTGTAGTTATTGTTGTTGGCCTTTTTGTGGCCACACTTATTGCTCAGTTTAAAGCTCAACATTCTGGCGCGCAAATTAAAATAAATGACATCAACTTTTTTTTGGGTACATCCCTTTTTTTTCTGCTTCCTTTCGCCTGCAGTGTAACAAAGTGGATATTCGAGGGCGAAATTAAGTAGCTTATTTGCTATTTTGGCAGAGTTTCTGGCCAGATACGAGCTTGTGCCAGATTTAATTAGCAGCTAAGGTCAGCTCGTGTCTGTGCCCCAAATTTGCTGAGACTTGATGGAACGCAGCTCATAAGAATTCATTTGATGAATGTCAACAAATGGCTCGTAAATGTTGCCGCAGTCTAGTTGTCAACGAGCTTCCAACCTTGAAGTGTACTTTTGGAGCGCTGCTCAAATCTTATATAAATTAACTGCAATTTGTTACGTGCATTCTGCACTTGTCCGAAAACAACACAAAAGCCAATTAATTTAGCCACACGGCACTTCACCCCCGCATGGAGGGGAAAAGGTGGGCGTTTAAAGGCAGCGTGTTGCAGCTATTATAAAACACAAAATTTATATTAATTTTACAGTTATGATTATGAGCCGCAATTTGCACTAATTAGACACACAACGAGCATTAAGCAACGTCTCCGCCGAGTTCCTGCAACGGGCTCGACCTAAAGCGATTCCCGTTCGGCACAGGACATGGCAACAGGGCGTCATTAACTGCGGGGTCATGGGGTCAGGGGGTTGCATGGGAAAGGGCACAGTAATTATATTTACCGTTAATTCCCGCAACTTCAACCCTATTGGCAGCGAAGGCCTTGCACAAAGCATACCGACAAATAGCGACAAACAACCAAAGTAGAAAGAATACGCAACAAAAGAATACAAAGGACTCGCCCCTGAACTGCAGCAAGTGTGGCAGCATTTCCGACACAATTGTCAACTGTCAATTGTCAATTGTCATTTGAATGGCATTCGATTACGCGTTTTGTTTGCTTTTAATTGCAGCGTTCATCCATTTGGCTTAACAGTTGTTAGCTAGCAGCTCGCTTTTCCCAATGAAAAGCGTTTCCCCTTCTCTCTCTCACACACTCCCTCTCTCTCTCTCCCTCTCTTTGATTCACCTAGAAAAAGTATTCAGACGTAAAGGCGCTCCCTCAGCTGGTGTGCACTCAGCCATCGAATCGCTTGCCTTCACACAGATTGCCTGCATTCAAGCACATCTGCAATTCCTATTTTACAGGAGAAGTAAGCGAAAAAGTGCAATGGATACTAAATGCACGCATAAAGAAAGATACGAGAGTCTAGTGGAAGTGTGCACATATTTGGGTTACATTTGCATTTACCTTTCATGTGCTGCAGATAGTCGCCCAAAGTATCCTACGTAATTGCAGCTATTCGTGCGTGCACATCATAATGATATGTGTACTTTTTCATTTGCTTTTCATTTTGTTTGGAACCGATTGAAAGCAGCCAGATTTTGTCTCTGAGAGCGGCATATTTAGAGGCTTTGATTAACAGGCGTTTGGCAATAAGTGTTTATCGTTAGCATATATAATCATTTCGATTAAAGAGATCCCACATACCAAACTCGACTTTTCTCGTTTACGAACAACAAAATTACTTGTACTTTAATTTATACATAAGCTTTACAATGATAAGTAACATATACTAACTTTAGGTAATTTCGATCATTAAGACAGTAGTTGTATTACTACCCCTTCAATTGCTATACCCTGTAAGCTACACAACCTGGTTAATACACTCTGCTTTTAAAGTATTTCGCTAGACAGAGATAATAAAGTAAGATGTTTAATATACTCAAATTTGATAAATGGAATACTGCCTTGCAAAAATAAGAAAATATATTGAAGAAACAATAAATAAATATTAACATTATTATTATATTAACATTAAATCGAGGATCTAACGCCAGCTGAAATCTGGGAAAAAGCTGAACTCTTTAAGAACTCAAGAAACAGTTCTATTGGGAATTCCTATAGTTCACATTTCCACTTAAAAAAACTCTATTGATTTGTTGTAAAAGCTGTTAATTTTGTAATGCTTGAGTTCAATACTTTCAGGGAATATCTAAGCTGTTTGAGCTGCAAATAGAGCGGAAGCAATCACATTTCGAGATTTATAAGCATGAATTTTTAATGTGTTTTTATAGAAATTTAGTTGTTGTGCTCGGAACCAGACGACCAGCAGCGACAAAAGCATTTACAATTTACGAGTGAGTCACATAATGCGAAACACTCAAATTAACAGCTGTGAAAATGTGTGTGAGTGTGTGTGTTTTTGATGGTGTGAGGTAAGGTGTGAGGTGGGAGGTGTGGTGTGGGGCATGTCTGACACATGTGCTGCCTGAGGGGCTGCGAATTCACGAGCCTTGGCAGCAAGTCGGCTGTGCGACATAAAGTATATTTTGATTATTTGTTGAGCCAAGAGTTGACAATTTGCAGGCCTGGTCGGTCCGGACAATGCCGGCATTTGCATTTCAAATTCGGTTTTTAATGGCGCTACTGCCGCAGGATCTTTCAGCCAAGAGGCAAGTGGCAAGTGGCGACTGGGGCATGGAATCGACTGGAAATGCCACAATTGGCGTGTTAACACAACAAAGAGGTAATAACAATAGCTGCCACCCCGATATCCGTGTGTGCGTGTGTGTGTCTGTGTGTGTATGTTTGCGGCATTCCTGCTGGATCCGTTACCAGATCATGCGCCCGCCGCCCGCACTTTGTAAACATTTTTAGTAGCTGCTGTTGCTGTTGTTGTTTCTTTATTTTTGTTTTTTATGCGGAAGCTGTGTCAATACACGATAAATTGAACTGTGCAAGAATTTATGTTGGCACTTTGTGCGAGAGCAACATACCAACAGCCCCCCGCCACCCCGTCATCCCACCGCACCGCAGTTGCCTTTTCTGGCGGCAGAAACAGGCCTCGCCCGCGTCCTCTGGGGACTTAAAAAGTTCAATAATATTTATTTATTTGTTACTTGCTCTTTGACAAAAGCACACAAGATTAGGACCGAAGCCCTATATATCACGCCTCGCATATTGGGTCAGATTTAATGGCGTTGCGTAGTTTTATTGTCACACAGAGCACAGGCAGGCACACAAACACACACAGAGACCAACAATGAGCAGCATCCTCCTTGTGGCAGGACATGCAGTAAATTAAACGACGAGACAAAGACGCCGCAAAGAATTCAAAAGCCCAAAATGCTAAGTTAATTTAAGGCGCCGATGTAAAGTGGTCTGCACTTTGATTTAGGGCCCGCAATTTGTAGCACTGCTATTTTGAGTATAACAAAAGGCACATGAAAAGGCTATCGATAAGGTGATACACGAACAACCGTACCCTGTGGCCACAATAATCTCTTGAGCTTGGACTTGATTTAAGGCCATCTCTGCAGTTGGCTTTAAAATGTAGCGGGACCCAAAAGTCGCCTGCCTGACATATACCAGAAATTACCTTTATGACCAAAAACTTGTTCAACATGTCGTTGCTGCAACAGATATATAATACATTAAAATTTAGTTTCATTCAAAAAATAATATGGAAAAAAAAAATCTTTAAATTTTCATATATTCCACATTTCTCAGCTCAGTTCAAAAAATCGAGGGCAGGCTTAAAATATGCGGAATTTGTTTTTCTTGAATTCATAATTAATGTTTGAAATTCGACCAAATTAAAGTAAGAGACATCTTGCTATTGTTTTGTTCGAAATATAAATGTAATATGTATGCACAAAAGAAAGCTTTTGGCTATTTGGCTAGAGTCCACTTTTTATGATATATTAGCAAAATTTCTTATGGCTAGATCCTTTTCTCAGTTCAGTTAATATTTAACAGCTTTAAGATTCCATATCCATTATTCCAACTTAAATATATATTAACTCTTTGATAAGAAAGAACCGTTAGTTTAATATACTGCTAGCTCACAAAGTGCAACTAAGCGTTGAGCAAATAAATTGGAAATCTATTGTAAGCTCCATTTGGCCACGGCTAAGTCCTTGAGGACATGCGCAGTATAAGCAGCCGGCAAATCGAAAAAGGAGAAGCATATGCCACATGTTTCATTCCGAGCCAAGCCAAGCCCCGCCACGAGTGGAAAAATGGGATGAAACAAGGCGGAGAAGCAAGCAAGCATCTGGCGAAGCGAATGCTGGAAACTGGAACAGGCGGCATCAAGCCGACAGATAGCATACCCAACGGGGCAGCACGAGTTTCCTGCCGCCAGTTGCACGCGATTCAGTTGAAAATTTGCATCCTCAGCGAACGGACGTGACACGCAGTACCAGAAGCAGGTCCCAAAGCGGAAGTTAACTTGTCGCGTATAACTGTGGTCTCGAGACTTAACTCGTGCTAGGCGACGACGTCTGCGTCCAAAGACCTTTGTTCATATGCGAGCAGAGACTGCAAAGTGTGCCAGAACTAGGTGCAAAGCGAAAGGAAACGGCCATGACAAAGCTATTTTAAGGCCCCGGAAACTGAACCGAACTGAAGGCAAAGCAAAAATACTTGCTGTGTGTGTGTGTGTGTGTGCATGTGTCCGGACTGAGTCAGCAGCGTGTTGGCTTGGCAAGTGCCGCTTCTAGTCGAAATCACTTTCGAAATTTGTTTGTTTCTGTTGTATTAAAATGGATATTAGAATGGCGCACAAAATGTGCAAAGGAAGCGCCCAATAAGAAATAGAAGGACAAAAATTGAGAAAGAACTGCGGCCACAATGTCGTAAAAAGGGATTATTGTGTATCGTCCTGGCAAACAACTCGCCAGATCTTCTAAAAAAAAAAAAATAAAGAACATAATAAAAACTTGAAAATATTTTCAACACGGCTCAAACGAACTCAACTGCAAATAAACTCCCACGTGTTAAATCCCACTAAATCCTGTTAAATGTAACAGTAAAAATTATAATAAAAAAAATAAATAAATAAATAAAAATGGATTATAATTTATTCAAATCAACCCATGCATGGAAAATGTGTGTCAGCTGTAAGCACCATTAAAAAGCGTGAGACCTGTTAAACAGTGTAAATGCCGCAACTTTAGAAATCTCTTTTGTGAAAAACTTTGTCCATAACTCATGGAAAAATAGGGTTTGCGCTAGTTTGGCATATGGCACGTGTAATTTACGCACCTCGCGGTTTACCCAGTGAATAGTTCAAGTTTTCTCAATTGGAATTTAAAACTGGTTCGATTACATGCAAATATTATGATTTATAGCTATTAAATTTATCAAAAAGTTTCACTAAACTTAAGCTGAGCATAGATAAATTTGGATGCGGGGAATTATAAAGAACTAAAAGTTTAGCAAGTAATTAATCAGCGTAATCCAAAATCGAACAATACAAGAAAGTCCAGTAATAATCAAAAATATAATGAATTTATAGTTTAAAAAATAGGCGCAATTTATATAGAGCTTAAAGGACAATATAATAAAGTTCAGCATGAAACTATAATAATAAAAACGCATAAAAAAATTATTAAATAATTTAATAACAAATAAAATTAAAGAAATAAAGAATTATGGTAAACTTTCAAGACAAACAACTATAATAATAAAAACGCATTACAAAATAAACAAACAAAACTGCGGAAGTTATCAAAAAGTACGAAATCTTTGTAGCCAATCGCCATAAGTTCCTATAAATTCCTTCACGTGTAAAGTAATCATATTAATATTGATTTATCGCTTGATTGGCAAAGTGCTTCAATGAAAATAAATCAAAAATAAAATATAACCACATATAGATCCTTTGAAATTGCGCAGTAACACAGCAAATAGAGGAAAATTGCGTGAGAAGGGAAAAACTGTAACTGGCACAAGGTGAAGCAATAGGAGAAGCAATGAAAACGCGTTGCGCCAAAGTCAAAGAACGACACAAAGCACAGCCAAAAAATATATAAAAGGCAAGCTGCAATTTGGTGCAAAGCAGCGGAAGAAAGCGACGATAGCAAATCCCGACCCCAGCGAGTTAATTCAATAAACCTATTTATCTGGGACGCCAGCGACGACTGGGACTTCAACTGGGGAATATACACATTTCGCCCAGAATGCGAAAGACTTCGCAACCAACAACCAACTGGGCGCACTGCAATCAGAATCAGAAGCCAGCAACGTGCCGAGCACTTGGAGACAATGCTCCAGCGATGGTTCCGCAAACGAGTCCCCAACGGCGGCAGACGCCGGGCAATGAGCGCACAAAATATGCTGTAAGTGTCGCAGCCGCAAGGCAATGTGCCAGTGGGACTGCCAGGACCAATGCCAGGAAGCTGACAACTGCAAAGATGACAGCCACAGTCTCAGCCCCAGCCTCAACCTCAAGATCAGACACTGGACAGCGGCGCCAATTTGTACGCACGGCCAGGACGATGACTTGGCAGCGCATCTGGCTGGCAGCCCAGCTCTTTGTGCTGTTTGACTTGGGAATGCGTAAGTACAGCTCGGGGGCTGACATTTTTGATTTAATTTAATAAGCCGCCCACCATCAAACACAGAGACCTGACCTACGATTTTGTTGAAACAGTTTTTGTGTCATAAGCGAAAGCAGTCTCTCCTGCTCCGACCTTGAACTTGTATTTCGCATATGCGTAATAAGAATTTCCGGATAGCCATATGCCAATTATCTGACTGGTTTTTTTATATTTTTCAAGCTGCTAATTGAATTGCCCTAAGCTAATATTATTAAAGCTCATGCATTATGAGCCATCTGTCAGTTTGAGTATGCTTAGTGAACCCTGAAATGCATTTAATTTCCCTCCAAATAGGGCAAATTATTAGGTAATTTATAATAAAAGTCTGATAAAAATATTATCAGCTGCCTAGCTGCTAAATAATTGATAAATCTATTTTAATAACTAAGTACTGGGCATCTTTTAGTCGCGCTTGCCTGACTTGAGAATTGTATTGACGCCGTGTTTCACTGTGCAGTAGCCGTAGGGCAATTACAACTTCCAATTCATGAATTTACTCATTGTCTATTTCTCTTGCTGCCCGACTGCCAGTCGCACAGTGGCGCAAAAACGTAGGCAAAAGAAAAAGGATGCCTCAAAGAAATTGTCAAGAATATTATTAAAAACAAAGCAAATAATAGTCAATACAAAAATAATATAGACAGGCGCGGCTGCCTTTCGAATACAGTTTTCGACTTGCTGCGGCCCACTGTGCGCATATCAGATTTCAGGACCCTTCGGGCACTCATGCAAAAGTCGAGCCTATTAACTTTATGGAGGAGCAACGCGTTTGAGTTCTTCCGTTTCGTCTAGCGTAGCGTAAAATAATTAAATTTATTTTACATGTGCAGGCTTTAATCCGTTTACAAGGCCACTTAACACGTGAGTGCTATATAAATGATATAAATGCACATATCGTTTTTTTTTTTTAAATTTTTTTTATTGACAGTTCGCGACCGCACTTTCATTTGGATAAATAAGTACCGTATGCAAATTGCAAATAATTGGGCTTAATTCTCGTAACGTTTTTAAGCAGTGGCATTATCCTTGAAAAAGGCGAGGCGCGGCTTCATAGATCATAATCCCGGCCAGCAAGTCTGTGTTGTTACAGCCCAGGCTGGCCATTAGCTGGTTTATCTTATTGTTTTTCCAGTTGACACCCGGCTAGCTAGCCCCAGTTGGTGTGTCCAGCATGTGAAATATGCGAAAGAGCTGATCCATTTCGGAGTCGCCCTGGAACAGGGTCCTTCTGGCACCTGGAAATAGCAGCTGAGACCAAAGTTTGCCACCTAGATGCGTCTATCGACCAGCAGATTGTATGGCGTCAGATACCTATACATCACGCGCTGGCGATGACAGTAGAGTATTGCGCTGGTCATTAGGTACAGATAGCCTCGAGGTTATGGCTTCCTCGCTGGCAATGAGTCGCATTCTCCTCAGGGCCTCCATCTTGCTGGTTAGGCAAACCAAACAACATGCAACAGTACAAATTGAAAGAGCACTGAGAGTAAGCCAAAGTAGTTTCCAGTAGTGCGAGAGAATTTAAAAAAGGAGCGATGCCATTCTATCGCACAAGTCATATGTATTTCTTACTCTCTTGCTGTCTGAGCGCGCGCGAGTGTGTCTCGAGCCCGAACAAAACCGAAGGCGACATTGGACCAGCCGCACCAAAAACAACAGGCCCCAACGCCTTCCACTGGTTATCCAGTCTACATATGTACATATATGTTGTTTGGTTAGTGCTTGTACACAGCGCCGTAGCTGATCTCGTCGATTTTTTCCTGACTTACATATCGCTCCATATTGATGTATATACTTTAGACATGTGCTTGCATTTGACTATAATATTTAGAAGCCATTCTCTCATTGGTTCGCATGATTATAGTTCGGCTGGCATTTGCTTCAATTCCACGAAAAGGGCTGCCAGCCACGGCGATTTATTAAAAGAAATCGATAGTTTGTTTGTGCGATGACTGACACTATCTCGGCGATGTATCGTATAGAAAAACTCTTTTTAAATCGACGACTTTTGTATGTACATACATGGAATGGCAAAATATATAAGCAATAAGTAGCTCAGTTCTTTTAGTTTCAATCTTAAACTTTAAAATAGGGATGGGCCGTTTGTATATCCGAGGCACGACGGACTAACCACATCAACACGAAATCACCACCTCCACCTCTCAACCTCTTGGGCGGCAGTAAAAATTAGGCATTAATTTCAGCTTAAATCCATTCGATAGCTCTTATTTTAGTACTAACATTTCTGAACAAGACACACCGAGCATTCCGACGGAAACCAATCGAAAATCGTAAATGAAAGGAAAGTAGGAGTGTATTAAAATAGTAGCAAAAACTTTGCGCAATATTTGATAGTTTGACTGTGTAAAAGACGCCTTGGAAAGTTTTTTCGTGCGTGTTTAAAGAAGTTAGTTTCGTGTTCGTGCCGGTCCGCACCCTTTACTTTAAGCTTCTTGCTGTACCTTAAACCGTTGAAAAAATTATTAAGTATTATCTTCATTGTACTGAGTCCAATATGATTGCTGGGAAGAAACTACGGATCGTTTTCATATGCAATTTAAATTATTAACAGACGTGCGCACATTTCAATACAAAAGTTTGAAGCGCTCGGCCCCCCCAATGGGTTATGCCCATTGCGCTGCCAATCCACTTGGCCATAATTCATGAGCCGCAGTTGTGAGTTCCTTAACCCGACTGCCCTCTGGAGCACCATTGTACGGTTAAATGGGAAAAACCACTTACAACTGCAACTGGCTCCGGGTAAATGGTAAATGGCAAATGGTAGCTGACCAATACGCAGGGCAACACAAATAAAACAATAAATTGCTGCACATGCAGGCAACAGCTCGGCAAAGCTTTGAAAAATGCGCTGAAAACATTAACGAAATTGAAAGCTTGCCAAAAACAAAGAGGAAGAAAAAACTGTTTAATAAACACATTTTCAAATGGCAAAATTTTGTGAATGCGCCGTAAGGCGTTCTGTGGCGAGCACATGCTCATCCAAATTCAAGGACCAGCAGGATAAAAAGGGGATTGCTGCCCCAATCCCAGTGCGCTTTCATAAAAGTTTGAGTGCAGCTCGTTATGCCAAATAAGTGAAGTTTGTCTGCTGCTTTTGTATAAATTTTGTAATATTAAGGGATTTTGTGCTCGTGCCTGCGCTCGTGCTCTCGTGCTCGTGCTCTGAGCACTTGGCTAATTTGGAGAATGTGCCAAAGTTTGAAGCCACGCTTCGCCACAATTTGCAGCTAGAGCGTCTGCACTTTGCGGTCCGACAGGCAATCCGAAAATGCTTAGCCACGCCTCGCCCCCTAAATGGTAAATCCTTTAATACCCCGCTCCAAGTGCTGCAGCACCAATTGGGTCATCCCCATCTCGCCTGAGGCCAAAAGTGTTTGTTTACCTTCATAAATTATGAATCTACAACCCACATGTTCTGGGCCATGCACATGGGCACATGTCGGTTGACCTCTGTCCCTGATGTCGGTGCTCTTACTCCTGCTTCTGCTGATGTTGTTGCTGCTGATGCTGCTGTCGCCAGTCTGTATGAAAGTGTCGCCCAACAAGCAAGCAGCTACGTAAAAAATTAGAAGAGCAAAATTCAGCTGAACTGAACCGAGCTGAACTCAACCGAACGGAGCCACGTCGTACCGGAACGCCAGCTGTGAGCTGTGCAGAGCTTGTGCCACATCCTGTCTGCATCCGAGTATCAAATATTTTGCTTTATGGCACACAGTGGTTCGGAATATGACAAACTGTTATAGCTTACATATGTATGTTTATACATACAAAACGTATATAAAAGACTTTCCTTTCTCAACATTACTAAAAATTGTGTACGACTAAAATGGTCTGGATCTATTGCTTTTTATTTTCATAATGTATTCTAATTTAAATCAATTCAGTATTTAGTTTGACTGACTGACATGTAAACTTTGACAACAAGACATCAAACAGAACCCATCCAAACGATTACAAACATCATGAACATGTGAGAGATAAGAGCGTCGAACCAGCAAGCGTGATGTTGTTGGTTAAAATTTAAGCGGCCAATTTGCATTTGTTTTTATCTACAAAGATCAAAGCAATAATTATAATTCAAGAACAAAAATAATTTGGAAAATGTATGGGAGCTGTCAATAATAATAACATACTTTCTTACCAGATAATAATTATTAAATATATCTCAATAGACACAGGTATCTAAATACACCCCTTAGTTAATCAGCTGTTACCACTGTGCATTTAGGCGTACGCTCTAAACTAACAATTTGGTTTAGGGTCCATGCCTCTGGCTGGTCTTTTTGATTCAAAGTTGGGCTGGACGACGGAGGGTTTAAATTATTCAGAGAGTCTCCGTTGACGCCGTTGTCGGCGCTGACGTAGCTGCGAGCAATCAAAAGCGCAAGCCACGAGGCGCAAGGCGAAACACTGAGCGGAAAACTGTGAAAAACAATGGAAAACAATGCCAAAATGACAACAACAAAGACGACTACAACAACAACAGCAAGTGTGTGGTATTAGAGGCTGGAGCATGTAATTGCTGAAAAGTAGGAGAAGTGGCCACCAGATGACAAAGTGCAGTCGACCAGAGTCAACGAGTCTTATGAGGGCTACCTTCCCCCTCTGTTGAGTGAAGTGTGAAAATGGCCCCCAAAAATAACTAGCAAAAATGCCAGAACAATATCGGTTTATATGGAGGCACAAGTTCAGTTTCGAGGGCCAACGTTGAAATTTATGAAATATTCCCAGAGCACATGCCGACAGACGACAACGGACAACGGACGACGAGCGACGGGCGACTGACGACGGATGAGGACCGACAGTCGTGCACGGCCCAAAGCGAGATGAAAAATGTTTTGTTTTGGCGACGTTGGAAATTATTTATGAGCTGTGCCGCCGGTGGCATTTGTTGGCCAGCGGCGGGTGGGCGACGGTAGGTATGCCAGCCTGTGGGTG